TAGTTTTGCCTAATTTACACAAATTCCTTTTTCAATTCTCCAAAATTCACTGTTTTTGTGAATATTTTCCATATGGGTTTTTTTCATAAAATGTGAGTCATCAGTAATGGATCAGAAAATTTTACATTATTGCACAAAATAGCGAAACCGACAGCAATTTCTAACGCCGTTCTGTTTCAAACAAGTCGCATTTTATTGAATAACTCATTCAGCAACTTTTTCCCTTTGAGAATATTATTGCATCGGGCTCCCTGCGGCCCAATAAAATCGACTACCTGGTTTATTCACTAAACCGCTCATTGAGGTCTAAAAGGGGAAATGGGATTATGAAATTCAGGCTAAAACAACCAAAATGTGAATATAGCGAAACTAGAGAATTATTCCAACGCCGCTATTTTGTCCTAAACTTTACAAATTGTTCTTCAGTTACCCACAATTCTCTGATTAGTAAAAAAACAAAACTTAATCTTTCAGAACTAATCAATAAACTGTAAACTGTTGGAGGAATTTAACATTTTAACAATCCACACTTTAGTGAATAACGTTTTACTGTATTGTTAAAGTGTATTTTATTATTACAGCTTAGTGTATTATTGCATCTCATTGTATCATTACAGCTTATTGTATTATAACAGCTTTTTTATTATCGCAGCTTATTGTATTATTACAGCTCGTTGTATTATTACAGTTCATTGTATCTCTACAGCTTATTGTATTATTGCAGCTTATTGTATTATTACAGCTTATCGTATTATTACAACTTTTTTTATTATTGCAGTTTATTGTATTATTACAGCTCAATGTATTAATACATATGGAGATAATTCCCAATATACAGTTTATTATATTATTACAGCTTTTTTTTTTTTTTTTTATTATTACAGCCTATTGTATTGTGAAAGATTATTGTATTATTACAGCTTAATGTTCTATTACAGCTTATTGTATCATTACATAGAAACATAGAATGTGACGGCAGATAAGAACCATTCGGCCCATCTAGTCTGCCCAATTTTCTAAATACTTTCATTAGTCCCTGGCCTTATCTTATAGTTAGGATAGCCTTATGCCTATCCCACGCATGCTTAAACTCCTTTACTGTGTTAACCTCTACCACTTCAGCTGAAAGGCTATTCCATGCATCCACTACCCTCTCAGTAAAGTAATACTTCCTGATATTATTTTTTAAACCTTTGCCCCTCTAATTTAAGACTATGTCCTCTTGTTGTGGTAGTTTTTCTTCTTTTAAATATAGTCTCCTCCTTTACTGTGTTGATTCCCTTTATGTATTTAAATGTTTCTATCATATCCCCCCGTCTCGTCTTTCCTCCAAGCTATACATGTTAAGATCCTTTAACCTTGGTAAGTTTTATCCCGCAATCCATGAACCAGTTTAGTAGCCCTTCTCTGAACTCTCTCTAAGGTATCAATATCCTTCTGAAGATACGGTCTCCAGTACTGTGTACAATACTCCAAGTGAGGTCTCACCAGTGTTCTGTACAATGGCATGAGCACTTCCCTCTTTCTACTGCTAATACCTCTCCCTATACAACCAAGCATTCTACTAGCATTTCCTGCTGCTCTATTACATTGTCTGCCTACCTTTAAGTCATCAGAAATAATAACCCCTAAATCCCTTTCCTCAGATGTTGAGGTTAGGACTCTATCAAATATTCTGTACTCTGCCCTTGGGTTTTTACATCCAAGATGCATTATCTTGCACTTATCCACATTAAATGTCAGTTGCCACAACTCTGACCATGTTTCTAGTTTACCTAAATCATTTGCCATTTGGCTTATCCCTCCTGGAACATCAACCCTGTTACATATCTTAGTATCATCAGCAAAAAGACATACCTTACCATCAAGACCTTCTGCAATATCAAGTCCAAGCTTTGAATATATTCCATTAACTACAACCCTCTGTTGCCTGTCACTCAGCCACTGCCTTACCCATTCAACAATATTGGAATCCAAACTTAAAGATTGCAGTTTATTGATAAGCCTTCTATGTGCAACTGTGTCAAAAGCCTTACTGAAATCTAGGTAAGCAATGTCTACTGCACCACCCTGATCTATTATTTTTGTTACCCAATCAAAAAAATCAATAAGATTAGATTGGCATGATCTCCCTGAAGTAAACCCATGTTGTCTCTGACCTTGCAATGCAAGTGATTTTAATGATGTTCAACAATTCTATCCTCTAACAAGGTTTCCATTACTTTCCCCAGTACTGAAGAAAGGCTTACTGGCCTAAAGTTGCCCGACTCCTCCCTACAACCAAACCGGTTCAGGTGAGTGATTGGCGGCATTCCCATTACCACGTGGAAATGCCGCCAGACCTAGAAGTGCCCACCGTGTCTCAGGGCATGAGCGGACCCGGCGGGCGTCTGCAGGAAAGGTAAGCATCTGGAGGCATTCACCTTAGTGTGAGGGAATACCACCACAACAATGCGTGCGGTGGGCGGCGTGACAGGGCACAACATTTGCTAACTTCCAATCTTCTGGGACTACTCCAGTTAACAATGATTGGTTAAATAAATCTGTTAATGGTTTTGCTAGTACACCACTAAGCTCTTTTAACAGCTTTGGGTGTATTCCATCCGGTCCTATTGACTTATTTGTCTTTACTTTTGACAGTTGAAATAGAACCTCTTCCTCTGTAAACTCACGTGTAATAAATGACTCATTTATCCTTTTTCTTAACTGAGGTCCCTTTCCTTCATTTCCATCTGTAAATACAGAACAAAAATATTCATTGAGGCAGCCAGATAGACCTTTATCCTCTTCTACATACCTTCCTTCTTTTGTTTTTAATCGAACTAATCCTTGTTTTACTTTTCTTTTCTCATTTATGTGTCTAAAAAATGTTTTGTCCCTTTTTTTTACTGACTGTGCTATTTTCCCTTCTGTGTGTGATTTGGAAGCTCATAACTTGCTTAGCCTCTTTCTGCATAATCTTACTTACTGGGTTTTATTTTTTATTATTACTGAGTGCTAATGCAGTTCATAATACAGCTCATTGTATGACAGATTATTGTATTATTACAGTTTATTATATTATTACAGCTCATTGTATTATTGCATTTTATTGTATTACAGCTCATTGTATTATTACAGCTCATTGTATTATGACAGATTATTGTATTATTACAGTTTATTATATTATTACAGCTCATTGTATTATTACAACTCAGTGTATTATTGCAGATTATTGTATTATTACAGCTCATTGTATTATTACAGCTCAGTGTATTATTGCAGATTATTATATTATTACAGCTCATTGTATTATTAGTTTAGTTGCTGTAGAGGGGTATTTTCATGCTCTGAGAGCCCTTTTTTTGTCAAAATGTTGCAGTTCGGAGTTCGGTTTAATTTCACAGTTTGTGTTTAGTGAATGAAGGGTACAGTGTAACATAAACTGCCCCTCATTGATGCAAAATAAGTGTCATAGCACACACTGGGGATTATTTACTTAAAGGATCTCTGTAGCATACTGATTACCTGTAGATTACCTGAATACAACACATTGACCCACAATCGTTACACATTGCCTGCCTGCTCATTGTGTGTGTACATTGCCCTGGTTGCTGGGGTTGCCACCACATGCCCGGGCTTGCCCTGGTTGCCTAGACTCTGGGTACACAAGAATTTAGATTAGTTCAGATTCTCCTATGCTGGCCGGTGCTCATATCGTCCAGCCTTCTCCTCTGTGTGCTGCCCAAATCCCTCACATCCTCCTGTGCTGCTCACAATATTAATATTTATGTAGCACCAACATGTGCAATAGCGCTTTACAATGATAGAAAGTGGATATTTAAAGTTAAAGAAGGCTCTGCTCAAACAATCGTACACATCATGAACCAAAGATTACACAAAAAGGAAAACGAGGAGGGAGCAAATGGGATTATTACTCTTAGATAATATACTCCTATTGCTTATATATTAACTGCTTAGTCTAGTTATATTTTATTGGGGTTGGTCCCTATGGCAGACACAATGTATTTCAGTACATTCAAAACATTGTCATAATTAAAGGGACACTTTAGGCACCCAGACCACATGATCTCATTAAAGTTGTCTGGTTGCAGTGTTCCGGTTCCCTTAACTCTGCAATGTAAAACATCTAGAAGCGCTTCCTCGCCTTTCACGGAGTTTCACTCGGCGAAACAACTTGGGACGTCCTCACGTTTTACTACTAGCAAAACCCCATAGGAAACCCAATGGGGAAGGCATAATCCACGCATGACGCTTTCTGCGCATGCGCATTAAGTCCCCTCCATCAGCGGATGCTGGTAGAGAAGGAACGCAACCTGGAAACCGGAAAGTGAAAGAAAGAGTTTTTTAATCCATTCATGTAAGTGGAGCAAGATGAGCGGATTGGGGGAGGGGGCAGAGGACACTGTAATGTTACGAATACATCTTTGTTTTCCTATCACTAAAGTGTTCCTTTAATAGACTAAGCACTCAATATGAATAGGGGTTTACTATCTAAGGGGTGACTCCATTCCCTACTTCCTCCTATTCCTTTTTTCCATTTTTGGCTGATTAATAAAGGGATACTATAGCAGTGAGACTGTAGGTTCCTGACCTATGCTTCATTAAACTAAGGTTGTTATGGTGCCTATATCACCCTTTATTGTCTTTATGGGTTATGCCCAGCATTGGGGGGAAATAGGGTCGCTCCTTTAATACATACTGCTACCACCTACACTGTTACACATACTATACAAAAACTGATACACATACAGTACTTACAAATAGATACACTCATTATACACACTATACACAGACTCACTCTTTATGTGTGTGTGTGTGTGTGTGTGTGTGTGTGTGTTTATACAACAATTTTTATCATATTTAAAAGTACTTTTTTGGGGGGTGTTTGAAAATTCTGTGCCTCCAGGCGCTCATGATGCAAATCCAGTCCTGTCTATCGGGTCCCTCCTCTCCTCCCCGTGCTGGGCAGGATCTCCTTCTCCGAGGCTCCCACTCCATTACTGGACAGTGTCTCCATCTCCGAGACCCTCCATCCCATAGTGGCCAGTGTCTCCATCTCCAAGACTCTCCATCCCATAGTGGCCAGTATCTCCATCTCCGAGGCTCCCACTCCAGTACTGAATAGTGTCTCCTTCTCTGAGACCCTCCGTCCCATAGTGAACAGTGTCTCCATCTCTAAGACCCTCCATCCCATAGTGGCCAGTGTCTCCATCTCCGAGACTCTCCATCCCAATATGGCCAGTGTCTTCATTTCCGAGGCTCCCACTCCAGTACTGGACAGTGTCTCCATCTCCGAGACCCTTCATCCCTCCGAGACCCTTCATCCCATAGTGAACGGTGTCTCCATCTCCGAGTACTGGAAGCTCCCACTCCATCTCCGAGGCTCCCACTCCAGTACTGGACAGTGTCTCCATCTCCGAGACCCTCCGTCCCATAGTGGCCGGTGTCTCCATCTCCGAGACCCCCCATCCCATAGTGGCCAGTGGCCCATAGCGGCTAGTGTCTCCATCTCCGAGGCTCCCACTCCACTACTGGCCAGTGTCTCCATCTCCGAGGCTCCCACTCCACTACTGGCCAGTGTCTCCATCTCAGAGGCTCCCACTCTAGTACTGGACAGTGTCTCCATTTGCAAGGTCCCCTCCCCCCACCTCCCCACACTGGCCATGGTCTCCACCACAGAGCCCCCCCTGTACTGAGCAATGTTTCCATCTCCCACGACCCCCCCCCCCATACTGGCCAATGTCTCCATCCCCCTCGGCCTCTCTCCTCCTGTCTGTCCTGGATGGCACTTTACATTTTTAATTATCTCCATACAGTCCAAGATGCTGAATCCCATTAATTTCACTGATCAATAACGGCTGTACTTGTCCAGAGTAAGTTAAGTTTCTTGTCATCACGCTCCATCACGAGCGGCTTCCATTCAATCGCAGCGACACTGCGACCACCAAATTACTACACAAACTGATTTCATTTTGGTCGGTGGCTGAGATGTATAACTTAATTAATGAGGAAATTATATTTTACTTATCCGTGATATTAACAATACAGGTTTGTGAGATCTGAAATATAAAATAAAATGCAGATTTTTTTTTCATTTTTGTCCTTCGTTTCCCCCTTTTTTATTTTCTAAATGTACCTTAGTTATATAGTTATACATAGGATAGAGTAGGTTATCTTTGGCAATGGGCAGAGTTCTATTTCAGTGTCTAAGCGACTTTACCCACAATCCATCAGTAAATGGGTCCCAGCGGAAGGCACAGTGCAGGCACCAGGGACAGAGGAGTACAAAATGGCGGCGCCCAGGTATTGAGACCCAGCACACAGGAAGAAAAGAGAATAAATATAATTAAAGGCAAGAGGGGATTATAATCAATAAAATACAAGGGACAAATAAAAACTAATAAATATATATAGCATAGTGCTGTAAACAGAATCTAATGTAATCAGAATAATAATGGATGGTTAATGAAACAGTGTCACTGCAGATTGGGAAACACTGGCAGTGAAAGGGTTAAATTAGCTTCTGATTTACCGTTTAGATTAACAGACATTTAACATGTGATTTATTTATAAAAATCAGATTCTGCAGCGCAGTATGATTATCCTTCCACATTACCACCATAATTATATATATATATCAAACATTTCCTTAGTGTTATCATGCAGAAAGGAAGAGATGGTCTGTGTGTGAGGTGAGATGTGCTGCAGTATTACCCTGACATTACCCATTCCAGGCTGCCCGCTGGCCCTTTAAGAGCTGCTATACCTGCTGGCCCTTTAAGAGCTGCTCTGGCTGCTGGCCCTTTAAGAGCTGCTATACCTGCTGGCCCTTTAAGAGCTGCTCTGGCTGCTGGCCCTTTAAGAGCTGCTATGCTTGCTGGCCCTTTAAGAGCTGCTGTGGCTGCTGGCCCTTTAAGAGTTGCTATACCTGCTGGCCCTTTAAGAGCTGCTCTGGCTGCTGGCCCTTTAAGAGCTGCTCTGCCTGCTGGCTCTTTAAGAGCTGCTATACCTGCTGGCCCTTTAAGAGCTGCTCTGCCTGCTGGCCCTTTAAGAGCTGCTCTGCCTGCTGGCCCTTTAAGAGCTGCTCTGGCTGCTGGCCCTTTAACAGCTGCTCTGGCTGCTGGCCCTTTAAGAGCTGCTGTGCCCGCTGTGGCCGCTGGAGGCGCTGCTGAGGCTGGGAGTGAGGCTGGGATTTTTCTTCCAAGGAGCATCAGAGGCGAGCAGGTACCTGGAGGGCTCGGGGACCGCACATCACCGAGAGGGGGAGGGGCCCGGGGCTTCCCCTGCTGGAGCTGCGGCCATGGGGGGTCCTTCCTCAGCGACCCCCACCCAGTCCTGGATACCCCCTGCCAGCGAGGCCGGGCTGGCTGCTGTGACTCCCGATGGCTGGCTGTGTGCCCCTCCTGGCAGAGGATGCGGGGCAGGTAAGGGGGCAAGGATACTGGGGGGGCAGAGATACTGGGGCAGAGATACTGGGGAAGGGATACTGGGGGGCAGAGATACTGGGGAAGGATACTGGGGGGCAGAGACAGCAAGAGATACTGGGGGAAGGATACTGGGGCAGAGATACTGGGGGCAGAGATACTGGTAGAGATACTGGGGAAGGATACTGGGGGAAGAGATACTGGGGGGAGCAAGGATACTGGGGGAAGAGATACTGGGGAGCAAGGATACTGGGGGAAGAGATACTGGGGGAGCAAGGATACTGGGGGCAGGAGGGCAGGGAGGGCAGGGGGGCAGGGATACTGGGGAGGGGAAAGAGATACTGGGGGCAGAGATACGGGGGGGGCAGGGATGCTGGGATGGGTCAGGTAAGGGGGCTGAGGATGCTGGGATAGGGCAGGTAAGGGGGCTGATGGGATGCTTGGATGGGGCAGGTAAGGGGCTGGAGGATGCTGGGATTGGGCAGGTAAGGGGGCTGAGGATGCTGGATTGGGCAGGTAAGGGAGAGCTGAGGATGCTGGATGGGGCAGGTAAGGGAGCTTGAGGATGTTGGATAGGCAGGTAAGGGAGCTGAGGATGCTGGGATGGGATGCTGGGATGGGGTGTAAGGGGCTGAGGATGCTGGGATGGGGGAAGGTAAGGGGCTGAGGATGCTGGGATGGGGCAGGTAAGGGGCTGAGGATGCTGGGATGGGGCAGGTAAGGGAGCCGAGGATGCTGGATGTAAAGGTATGGGAGCTTGAGGATGCTGGATGGGGCAGGTAAGGGGCTGAGGATGCTGGGATGGGGGCAGGTAAGGGGGCTGAGGATGCTGGGATGGGGCAGGTAAGGGGGCTGAGGATGCTGGGATGGGGGCAGATCAGGCTGGGGGCTGCCCTGATGCAGAGAATGTTGATGAACGGTTGCAGAGCATCGAGTATCTTGAACACATAGGATTAGCGTATGGTATTTACACCGGCTAATGATACCGAGAGCACAGAATGTGACATATTGTCTAATAATCAGGGTACTGATCTGGCTGAGCACAGGATGGCAAGCTGGGTTTTATGCTAGAGGATATGTTCAATCATGTGTCTGTTCAGCCATGTTTAATGACTTCATAAGATCCAGTAAAAGAGACAGTATGTTATCTACATGGCAGTTCATGACCGTACCTGAGCAGGTAACAAAGTGCATAGCATGGGCTGTGTCCATCTGTACCCAATGCGGGCATCGATATACATGTCAGAAAATGTGTCAGTACCCAGAGCGGGCATCGATCTCTATGGCAGGAAATATGTCAGTACACAGATCGGGCATCGATATACATGGCAGAAAATGTGTCAGTACCCAGAGTGGGCATCGATATACATGGCAGGAAATGTGTCAGTACCCAGAGCGGGCATCGATCTCTATGGCAGGAAATATGTACGTACACAGAGTGGGCATCGATATACATGGCAGAAAATGTGTCAGTACCCAGAGCGGGCATCGATCTCTATGGCAGGAAATATGTCAGTACACAGAGCGGGCATCGATATACATGGCAGAAAATGTGTCAGTACCCAGAGTGGGCATCGATATACATGGCAGGAAATGTGTCAGTACCCAGAGCGGGCATCGATCTCTATGGCAGGAAATATGTACGTACACAGAGTGGGCATCGATATACATGGCAGAAAATGTGTCAGTACCCAGAGTGGGCATCGATATACATGGCAGGAAATGTCAGTACCCAGAGCGGGCATCGATCTCTATGGCAGAAAATATGTCAGTACACAGAGTGGGCATCGATATACATGGCAGAAAATGTGTCAGTACCCAGAGTGGGCATCGATATACATGGCAGGAAATGTATCAATACCAAGAGTGGGCATTGATCTCTATGGCAGGAAATGTGTCAGTACCCAGAGTGGGCATCGATATACATGGCAGGAAATGTCAGTACCCAGAGCAGGCATCAATCTCTATGGCAGGAAATGTCAGTACCCAGAGCAGGCATCAATCTCTATGGCAGGAAATGTGTCAGTACACAGAGTGGGCATCGATCTCTATGCCAGGTGATGACTCTGTACCCCGAGCAGGCATCGTTCTCTATGGCAGGTGATGGCTCTGTACTCAGAGTGGGCCTTGATCTCTTTGGCAGGTGATAGCTTTGTACCCAAAGTGGGCATCGACCTCTACGGCAGTGGATGACTCTGTACCCAGAGTGGGCCTCAATCTCTATGGCAGGTGATGGCTCTATACCCAGAGTGGGCATTGATCTCCATGTCAGGTGATGGCTCTGTTCCCAGAGTGGGCATCGATCTCTATTTCAGGTGATGACTCTGTACCCAGAGTGGGCATCAATCTCTATGTCAGATGATGGCTCTGCACTCAGAGTGGGCATTAATCTCTATGTCAGGTGATGGCTCTGTACCGAAACTGGGCATCGATCTCAATTTCAGGTGATGGCTCAGTACCCAGAGTGGGCATCGATCTCTATTTCAGGTGATGACTCTGTACTCAGATTGGGCATCAATCTCTGTCAGGTGATGACTCTTTACCCAGAATGGGCATCGATCTCTATGGCAAACTGTACTCAAGAGTGGGTATTAGTCTGTACGGCTGAAGATGCATCTGTACCCAGAGTTTTGTCTGACCTTGAGCTGGCATGCCAAGGGTTTTGTGCGTCTGTACCCAGAATAGGCATCAATATTTGTGGTAGGGCATGTGTTTGTACCAAGAGGGGGCATCAATCTTCATTCATGGGAGGGTATATGTTGGACTTTCCCCAGAGTAGGCATTAGGCTGCATGGCAGGGGATGTACCCAGAGCGAGTATTGATCTGCATGGCATGGATCTGTCTGTACCCAGAGCGAGTATTGATCTGCATGGCATGAAGCTGCAAGACATGGATCTATCTGTACATAGAGTGGGCATTGATCTCCATGGTATGGATCTGTCTGTACCCAGAGCTGGCATTGATCTGCATGGCATGGATCTATCTGTACCCAGTGTGGATGTTGATCTGCATGGCATGGGTCTATCTGTACCCAGTGTAGATCTTGATCTGCATGGCATGGATCTCTCTGTACCCGGAGCTGGCATTTATCTGCATGACATTGAGCTGCCAGACATGGATCTATCTGTACCCAGGGCGGGCATCTATCTGCATGGCAGGGATTGCTCTCACCATCTCTTGTTTAGATGCTCTGCTACCATCGCAGTATGCAGACAGTGTCTATCTCATTATGTGCTCTGTAATTCTATAGATAGATACATTAACACTCACCTCTGGCATCCAAAGGGTTAAGATATTCATTCCCACTTTTTCCGGTTATTTAGTTTAATAGAACGAGGTGTGAGCTGTGTGCTCTGCAGTGAACAGAGTGATTACATAATGCTCAGAGACCATGGCGGTCTGTCCTGATCAGCGTGCTAAGGGGAGTCTAATAAAAATCCTTAATTAGTTTGTCACCAGCCAGCAATGACTTAACCCTTTAAGGAGACAGTGAGCTGCAGAATGACATTTAGCTCATTTCCACACATTACACATTTTTCTGGCACCCTGTTAATTCAAGTCAAAACCTGGAGGTCAGCGATGAATTTCCTACTGCCTTAGGATGAACTGGGGTCTTCCACTGGTGTTTGACTGGAACGCATATCATCCCCAGTAGGCTGGTCTAAAATTTCAGATTCTCATGGAGGTGTGTGTGTGCAGGGGAGAGGGGCAGGGGGTGTCAATGAAATCCTCCAGCATGTAAGAAACCCCTCCCATGATCCTCAGCCAGTGCTATTGCCCAATGCATTTAATAAGATTCCAGGATGGTTTTCTCCGAATTGGAAAGGGTGTTTGTACATTGCTCTATGATGCAGCATACTGGTCACTGTGAAATAATGGAACCATAAGTGACAGGGGATGATGAAATTAGATGCAGAATGTGCGGGTACTGAGAACGCTCTGTATAAAGAGCAGTTATAGTGTAAAGTTGGAAATTTGGTTAATTGGCAGTACCATTCCATCGCTCTGTGTATCAGTACCATTCCATCGCTCTGTGTATCAGTGCCATGCCATCGCTCTGTGTATCAGTACCATTCCATCGCTCTGTGTATCAGTGCCATTCCATCGCTCTGTGTATCAGTGCCATTCCATCGCTCTGTGTATCAGTGCCATTCCATCGCTCTGTGTATCAGTGCCATTCCATCGCTCTGTGTATCAGTACCATTCCATCGCTCTGTGTATCAGTGCCATTCCATCGCTCTGTGTATCAGTACCATTCCATCGCTCTGTGTATCAGTGCCATTCCATCGCTCTGTGTATCAGTGCCATTCCATCGCTCTGTGTATCAGTGCCATTCCATCGCTCTGTGTATCAGTGCCATTCCATCGCTCTGTGTATCAGTGCCATTCCATTCCATCGCTCTGTGTATCAGTACCATTCCATCGCTCTGTGTATCAGTGCCATTCCATCGCTCTGTGTATCAGTGCCATTCCATCGCTCTGTGTATCAGTAGCCTATTGTTCAGAGTATTGTGTTACTTACCTTCTCAGAATTATGGAACTACCCCTTATGCCGTTACTCGTCACATTTCTGTGAAGGCAGTCAGTCTGTCCGCAGATGTGAGTTTGAGATGAAATGTTTGCACGCTATAATGTTGGTGACTAGTAGTGGATTAAAAACTGAATCATAAGTTTGGCTGGAGACATTGTGCTGCGGCTGTAGCTTAGTTGGACACAATTTGAATTTCAGCCATATTTAACAAAATTTTAACATTTGAATTTTAATTCTTTGCAGTTTGGATTTTATTAACCCTGTGGGGGAGATTCATCAGTGTGCTCTTTTGCAAAAAGTGGTCTGATGTACTAAACGTGGGGCAGTCGCCATAGTAACCAGCAGGCACATTCCATTGGTGACTCCTCCCATTTTCAATTTTTGCACCACTTTTTGAAACACATACGTTAATAAAGGAAAACAGATAGTGTTAGGCTGTGACACTCCAATGAGACAAACAGAAAATATGGCAAGTTTTTCCAATTGGCTTTGTAGCCTAAAATTTTAACTTCAATATTTATTGAACATAACACCTCTTGCTCAGTTATATGTCATGCATTTGTTGTCATTCATTCACAAAATAGGGAACTCTGAGAAACAAACAGTTGATTTTAATATTAGCCTAGATTATGTAAATTAGTAAAATCTCTTTAGGGGCCGGAATTTGAGTATTTTTAGCCCCAGAGCGTTACAGGTGATGGAGGGGCAGCTCCATCACCTGTATGAGGCGGCTTACTATTAGATCACTACTATAGGGCTCCTCCAGACTACTAATGGGGAGCGGATGGTCTCCTGCATGTAAGGGTCAGGAGGAGGCGTTGGACAGACGGTCAGTGCTGTACCCCTTCTCCTTTGCTTTAAAGGGACATTGTAGGCACTATAACCATTTCATCTCATTGAAGTGGTTATAGTGCCTGGAGTTTCCTGCCCCTCCAATCATTTTCGAGTAGTTTAACACTGAATGAGGGTTCCTTTATTTCTCATAACTCCGCCTCCACTGGAGGTGTGTCTAAGGCAGAGATTACACCCTTCCTTCTAGTCATAAGAATTTGTTCCATCAATGGGGGGGGTGATTGGCTGTAAACAGTCAGCTGACACTCTCAGCCAATTACAGCCGCCTATTGTTACTCAGTATTGTACTTCCTCATTAGTCCAAACGGCACAGAGGGGATGGGCCACTGGGGACTTTCATTTAGCTTAAAAACGGTTTAACGCTGGATGGCACCAAGGGATATCAGACACTATAGCCAGCCCAATTAGATAAAGAAATTACAATGCCTACAGTGTCATTGTAAAGGGACACTCTAGGCACCAGAGCCACCTCAGCTTGATGTAGTGGTTCTGGGGCAATGAGACTGTCCCTACAGGCTCAGCAGTGAACATACGTCTGAGAAAAAGGCAATGCTTACATTGCAGCCTAAGGCCAGCTTTAGTGGCTATCACTTAGACAAGCACTAGAGGAACTTCCTTGGCTTTGGACTCATGCCACGGGTGTTTCTAAAAGCCAGCAATGGTGCACAAAATGGGTTAACATGTCAGGTGTGCTTTCTTAATCCCATCCTTTAATTATCAAACTGTTATTTTATGGGTCGAATAATGACCATAAGGACACCAGCAGTTTGTGCACCTGATATCCGATGCCATGTTTAGTTTGTAGATGACGGCGTAACGCACAGGTTTTTCGCTAATGTCTGCTACATTGCTGAGATAGGGTCTATTTTTGTTTCACTAATACGATAATGTAAGGGAAGTGTGATTTGCACCTTAAACTGTTTACGCTGTACAACCCATTGAAGGCTTTTCACATGCAACACATCTCTGCTGGTGACACTCAGAGATTCATTGATAATGTGGCCAGACTAGCATTTCAGCAAGTCTTGGTGGCCTACAGTGCCATCGTCCTGGAGGGCCGTATAGTGTTTTCCCCCCATGTGTGCCTTGCCTAGTGTTCCCTAGCACAATCACACAAACTGAGTGTCTCAACTCATCATTTTGAACAATTCTAAAGCGCAAATCTTAGGGAAAGTGACAAAACTGGAGTATATAGAAACCACCATAGAAACTTTTAGAATGTTCTTGCTGATTTCTCCAACTTTAGTACTTTACACTGGTACGTGTGCTGGCAACGTTTAGCACTCCACATGCTGTGAACTACATCTTCCCTGATGCTTTGCCAGCACTGTGGCGTAACAGTATTATGGGAGATGTAGTCCACAAAATCTGGAGTGACAAAGGCTGCCTAAACCCTACACTGGAAACCTGGACCCTTTAGTACTAATATACAGTAATGATTAAAATATGTATATAACCCAACAGTCCCAGTAAGCAAGAGCTAAAAATATAGCATGTATTCATACACATACTCATTTTCTTCTACTTCCATAATCTAAAGTCACTTCTGTTCCATTTGCAGGAGCTGGCTTGTTGAGATGAATTGAGGGCAAGGAACACGGTGGCGCTTCTTTAAGATGACACGAACCGACCCACCTGACATACTACTGTCAACAGTTTATCAAGACATTAAAGTGTCCCTGAGCACTGATTCTCAAAGCCACCAACCCGCTGCACAATGTGACACCTTCATGTCCAACCACAGAGAGCATCAGCAGCAACCTTTCAACAAGAGGCACTGCCGCAGTTTTGACTTCCTTGAATCCTTGGACGACAGTTTAACCCAACCTGCAAATATGGAGGCATCTCAAAGGGGGCCACACAGACGTGCTGGGACCCCTGAACCATTTTCTCAGCCTGTGAGTAGGAGGGCCACCATCAGATCCGACACCAGATATACATCTCAGGGGGTAGACACGTCAAAGGAATCTGCCAAAGAACCGAGGAGAAGACCAAGATCAAAAAGTGCACCAAGGGTCAAGACATCTTTCACCTCAGTCCCCATTCAAATGTCATCTTCTCAATCACCTCCTCCATCAGCCAGGAGAGGTAGAGAAGTCCATCGAGCCTCTCGTGAACCTCAGAAGTCTGTAGCTTCCCCTAAAAGAGAGGCCAGCTATGCCTCTACAAAAGTATTAATGAATGAGGTGCATCCCATAAAATTACAACCGCAACGCAATAGTGCAAGCCGGATTTCCCCACTTTTTGTTAACAATTGTATGGAAGATCCACAGGTTGCAAAACAAATGTCTAGCCCTCATGTCCGCTGCCGGGTGGACATAAAGCCTGATGACGCAGTTCTTCAGCATGCTGCACATGGTTCCAAACCATGCCAGGCCTGGGCGGAACCACCCCATTGCACAAGACAACCAGGCACTCCCAGGAGCCTAGCTGTGCCAACTGCAAGACTGATATCTGTGTCTCGGACACCAACACCCAGTGATTCTCACAGTGGGGATCACAGGATGACACAATTCCCATGTACCACTGGAGGAGAGATGTACACACCTGATTTCAGAGGCATCCCCTACCACAATGTTCCATCCCCAAGAGAATTCTCACAGTATGCCAACAGGGACTGTGGCCAGTATAGTAGTCCCAACATCCCTCCCTCATACTTTTACACTGAGGAGGATACCAGCTACAGTCAAAACATGCCTGTCAAAAGCAGGGGCTGTTTCACTTACCCACATCAGTTTGCAGACCCTGGTGTTTCTACTCACACCTACTACACTGATGAAACGCCTAGTGGTCCACCTAGGACATTTTATATTGAAGACCCTCGACCCTATCCTATTCAGGAAGCCCCAATAAGGACGTTTTATGGAGAAGATCCTCGTTTTTACCCTCCTCGCACTATTCCTGCCAAAACCCATTATGGGGAAGACCACAGATCTTATCCAATCCAGAGCACTTCATCTAAACTCTACTTTGCTGAGGACATTGCAAAGTATTCAGAAAGGGATGCTATCTCCAGAACCTATCCATATCCTAGGAGTACGCAGCCACTGCAATTCAGTGAATGGTATTTTCCAGATCAAAACGCAATACCATACCCAACCATTCCAATGTCTCCTTTCCCTCAACAGTCTTCTGGGAGGGAGGCAATGCTTTCATCATGGCATGCTTCTTATAGTATGAATCAACAGAGATTAGCGACTGATTCCAGGAATTACTCCAGATCATGGGACAATATTTTGAATCCCAGCGGGCGCAAAGATGATCCACTTTCCCGTGGCCGAAGCTATGAGAATTTGTTGTGTCGTGAACGACGTGCCTTATCTCCAGATGACCGACGCCAGCCTGTGGTTGTAAATCTTTCTTGCTCTCCAAAGCGGTATGCTGCCCTATCTCTGTCAGAAAACTCTATTGTGGAGAAGGTTCAAACTGATGGTGGAGGTGGCAGATACACAATGGGAAGGTCATGGTTTGTCACACCAGAGATCACTATTACAGACAATGATTTGAGAGCTAACGGGGTGGGGAGAGGTGAGAGGCGTTCAGCAAGCTGGGATGTGATAGACTCAGGTGTCTCGCCACCAGCTTACCCAGTTCATGCCGCCTATCCTACCAAAGAGAAGATGCCAAGCAGATCCTCCCGGCACCGCAGTCTTGAGCAGCTTGATGAGCTTATCGCGGACCTCGTAATAGATTATAAACCACCTTCAAGCCGCCGCCCCAGCGAGGCAGATGCTCTTGCAGATCAGTTGAGAAAACTTATTAAGGAAGACATGATAGGGATTCCACGAAAAAGCGAGCACTATGGGCACATGGCACATTTACCGCAGAGTAGGCCTTTAAAGGAGCAGCCAACTCCCACATTCCCTGATTCCCAAAGAGGCCAAAGGAGGGGAGCATTCCCTGAGGTACCAGTGTCCAGTCCTCACAAGCCTCTTGAAGATTGCTCCCCAGATCTGAGTGCTGATGAGGATGACCTGCTGACCTGTTCTAATGCCAAGTGCAGACGCACAGAGACAATGTTCAATGCTTGTCTGTACTTTAAATCTTGCCACAGCTGCTATACCTACTACTGCTCTCGAAACTGTCGTCGTGAGGACTGGGATATTCACAAAGAAAGCTGTATCTTTGGCCGCATGGGCAGCGTATGTCGCCATGTGCTCAAATTTTGCAGAGAGAACACTGATGTTCACAAGGCTTTTTCCCGCATTGCCAAGGTGGGGTATCTTTCACGAGGTAGAGGAGTGCTTTTCCTAGGTTTTCCAAACCCAGGTTCAGCAGATAACTTTCTGCAACTTGGCCTAGAGGGGCTGCTGATGCCTCCTACCTACTTATCGCTGAGGGAGCTGGAGAGCTACTCAGACAATTTAGGAGAACATGCCAAGGAGCTGCAAGGGGCCGGCAGCCAATATGACCCCGAGGAATGTTTCCTATTGAATGTAACTGTGGCAGTGGGACAGGGAGGACCTGACCGTCTATCATCAAGAGCTCATCACATCCCTACTGTCCGCAAGTATGCCAAAGTAGCCTTAGCCTCTTCTAGTCCAGAGAGGAAAATCACAAAAAAAGAAAAGGACATGGAGACCCTTATTCTGACCCCTCCACCGGGCACAGCTGACTTGGACAAAGAGGGAGAAGAAGGGAGGAAGGCCAGAGAGGTCTGCTTCATACATATCCAGCGGGAGCTGAGGATCAGAGGGGTATTCCTTCGACATGAGTATCCTAAGATCTACCAGCAGCTGTGCGAATTTGTAGAGAGCAACAAAAGATTCACACCCACAACCATATACCCCATAGACAGGAGGACTGGAAAACAATTCATGTGCATGCTCATGGCAGCTTCGGAGCCTAGAACTCTTGACTGGGTAGCCAGCCCGAACCTGCTGGACGACCTTATGTAACTCCAGAGCAATCTTGGTCCAGAACACAATTCCAAGGACTGTCTCCTTATTGTTTCACTTATCCTCCTATTCTTTTGTAGTTCCTGTATTTTTTTTGTACCAGGAGTAGTCCTGTAATGTAGATATCACAAAGATTTAAATGTCCTGAACAAAATCAGGATTAGTGCAAGTGGGATGCATGGGGATGAATTATACAAAGTTGGATACGGTTGTGTAATAATGTCTAATAGGACCCTCAATCTCGTTAAAGGGATTATAGGGATACATAGCCAGTGCACGTGGAAATGTTACATTTATATAAATAGGACAAACTCTGTAGTCTGTGAGTGCCCAAAATGGCCAGTGTAGGTCTTTTAGTCTATTTTATCGTAAAATGATAGGGTAGGTTCCATCGTAAGGTCAATTATATTGACTATTATCACCCTCATGACTGGTGCTGATCATAAAGTACCGGTAATTAAAAGGAACACTTTATTTTAAACAATTTTTTAGTTCCCTATGTTCCTTAATCATTTTATAGATTACCTGCTTTTCACTGCAGCCCAGTCCTCCATCAGGATTGATGAATTCTTTACAATCATGATTCTCATAGAGAAGCAACTGAGGAAGTGATGGGCAGTCCAATGCTTCCCTATGAGAAGCATGAGATGCACACCCAACATCTAGCCTATCAGATTCTTATAGTGGGCGTAAAGTAGATTCAATGATTGAATCTAATTTCATCCAAAGCTTCTTGTGGTCATCTGAATGGCAGCCACTAGTAGGTTTGGGATTTGTGAAATGTAAGCAGTGCCATTTCCCCCAAAATAGCATGTTCTGTTTGCTAGGCTGCAATGACAGCATCTACACACCAAAGCCTCTCCATTAAGGTAAAGTGATTTTGGTGCATAGAGTGTCCCTTTTATTTCACTGATTAATTCCTAAATACTGAAAGTTTTCTGCTACCTGCTGAAAACTGATAACACTATTCTCTATTTTATATTAATGGTTGATTATGGTGGTTGAATTTCACAGTTGAGATATTATGACTGCAAGGCTTATGTAAATATTTATTTCAGAAGCATGTTCGGCGTGGATAGGGAAGGATCAATGGAAGAAATTGAGAATATAGAGATAGAGGTAGACACAACTATAGGTATTTATTCAGTGAGAGGAGTCAACCTTTGGTGGTGCTTGAGCACCCAGAGAGCACTGTCGAGTTTATAATTTGTAGATATATTCAAACCTCAATCCTCTGATCATCTTTTTACCACCTTGTGTTCTGACTACAGCGAGCGGAAGATGAAATAACATCTACATAATTTACTACAGCGGAAAGAGCAACAGGTTATTCGGTAAAGTGAGGATTGTTGGAAATTTAAAAGAAATTAAAAGTGAATTTCAAATTTAAGCCCAAATTTGCCAAACTGGAAGCATAGCTAACTTAAAGAATTCCTCCACTTTGGCTATTTTGACTTTAAATTTGTAATCCACTTCGTAACAATTCTTACTTGGTTGGATAATTATGCTGGTCACCACGATAGTCTGAAGGTTACATGCCCATTGATTGGCACCTAACACCCAACGCTTTATTTATATTTTATTTAGAAAGCAGTGCTTGCTCTGCTTGTGAGCAGTTTAATGGTGTCTTCAAATTAGCAGTTATTGTTTAGTGAAAAGGCATGATTTAGGAATTTCTTCAAATTTAGAAGTTCTATTAAGTTCGTGATTGATTACCTCCACTTTGTAAGTCACAACCTAGTCAACTCTTCAACTTTAAAACAATTTGAATAAAATATTTTAAGGATCATGATTGAGTCAACACTTAAAAAAAGAGTGATGGAGGGAGCTCAGTTTAGAGTCATGACTGGTTAAACCCTTCCAATTGAGTCATGACTAAATGAGCTCTTCCAGTTGCGTCATGCTTAAATGAGCTTTACTAGTTGAGTCTCGAGTGAGTGGTAAGTTGGTTGAGTGGTCTCTTCAAGTGGAGTACTAGTTTAGTGGTCTCTTCCAGATGACTCACGATTGGGTGAGCTACATCATTTGAGACTAATGGCTGAATGAACTCTTCAGGGTGAACTCTTCCAGCTGAGTCATGCTTGAGTGAGCTTTACTAGTCGAGTCATGATTAAGCGTTCCTTTCCAAGTGAGGTCTGATTGGTTGGTCTCTTCTAGTTGAGTTCTGATTGATTGATCTTGTCCAGTTAAATTATTAATTGCGCTCCTTCATTTGATACTAATGACTGAATGAACTCGTCTCTTCCAGTTGCGTCATGACTGGGTGATCAGTATCTGAGTATCAAAACTAAGTAATCTCAAATGGGTGAGTGGACTCCTCCATCTGAAAAAACATAAATGAATGAGCTCTTTCAAATAGAGCAACAATAGCTCAATACGTTTTCCCAATTGAGTAATGAGGAACCTCTTCCAGAAGAATCATCCTTGCTTAAGTCATCGTTGCATGACTCTTCCAGTTGAGTCATGATTGAGTGAGTGCTGAGAGTCATATTTTGTATCTTATACCTTTTCTATCTTATTTATTAAGGCTTCTCTAACCCATTGAAGGAGACTATATTGCACAAAAACAAACTTTCAAAATGCCTAAAAATATCTATTTATAGTTGATCAATTAAGAGATTGCGTTGTGACCACTTATTATATAAAGCGATTCATGTTCCACAGGGGATTTAAATACCAGCACTACATCGCTTCTAACTGAGGGTGTTATTTTTTTATTTTATTTTTATTTCACATAAGACTTGTATCGGAACATAACTTGGCTGCTTTGGATTCCTTTAACATTTTATAAATATATTTAATTTAATAAACTAAGTTTAATTTATTATCAAAGACCGTACTCTGTGGGACAGTTTTGGATTTTGAAGTTAAGTAAAAATGACGGCTGGTACATGAAATATTTATACCAGAACTATACCTGAAACTGTATTTTTGTTTGTAGTGAGATGCGCAATCCCTTTAAAAAGATAAAAATAAGATTAAATGTATGTTAATATATTTTGGGAATGGCACAGGTAATAATAAAATTATATGAACAATATTGCAATATTTAACTTTATTAAAGTTTGTATTTGACCTTTTGTGTGTTTTGATTTAAACAGCATTCAAACTTTAGTTAATTTTCCTTTATTGCGCTTTAAACGGACACTTGGGAATGATTTTAGAAGGATTCAAACATTCAAAGGATAATAGGAATCATATTTAAAGCATTTAATAAAATACTCCAGACACCATAACAACTTGAACAGGATTAAGTTGTTTTGGTGCCAGGAAGTCCCGCGCTGACTTACCTTGAGCTCGGATTGCAGCAGAAGTTTGGGGAAAGAGCTGATTGTCAGCAGACAGAAGACTTCCATAAATGCTTCAGCCCCTTAAGATAAGAGTGACCCCACAGTTGAAGGGTCTAGCTGCCGCTTGACTGTGGGCTTGGTGCTGGATTAAGGTGAGTTTTTCCTGTTTTTTTTTCTATTTTTGGGGTGGGTGAGGGTGGCGGGTATGCCAGGAAAGCTTTATTAAAATTTTCGGTTGGAATAACGTTCTGCCATCAGCATGGGTGGCGTCACATCACTAGACGTTGTGCTTGTTACCTTAATGGCAATGATTCAAGCTATTTTCCTCATAAGTAAATATCAGCCACACAGAGCTGGACTAAGAGCTCATACAGCCCTAAGCAGGGTACTGGCTAAGACTTCCCTGAAGAACCCTTTCATAACCTGTAATCTGTATTTAAAGATATCACTATTGTTCCAAACTACTCACATACGGTAATCCTCTCCAATACCTTTCTGCTGCCATAGCTCCCCTCTTCCGTCACACTGCCATAGTCCCCATCCCCACTGGTATAAAGTCCCATTCCTTATCTCTACTGGCATAGTCCCCATCCCATCCCCACTGCCATAGTCCCATTACCCATGATTACTACCATCCCCACTGCCATAGTCCCATACCTCATTGTTACTACCTTCCCATACCATAGCCCCATTACCCATCATTATAACCATCCACAACCATAGCCCCATTACCCATCATTACAACCATCCACTGCCATAGTCCCATTACCCATCATTACTACCATCCACTACTATAGCCCCATTACCCATCATTACTACCATCCACTGCCATAGCCCCATTACCCATCATTACTACCATCCACTGCCATAGTCCCATTACCCATCATTACTACCATCCACTACTATAGCCCCATTACCCATCATTACTACCATCCACTGCGATAGCCCCATTACCATCATTACTACCATCCACTACCATAGCCCCATTACCCATCATTACTAACATCCACTGCCATAGTCCCATTATCTAACATTACTACCATCCCTGCCATACTCCCACTACCCATCATTACTACCATAGCCCCACTACCCATTATTACTACCATCCCAACTGCCATAGCCCCATTACCGATCATTACTACCATCCACTGCTATAGTCCCATTACCCATCTTTACTACCATTCCCACCATAGTCCATTACCCATCATTACTGCCTTCCACTGCATAGTACCATTACCCATTATTACTACCATCCCCACTGCCATAGCCCCATTACCCATCATTACTACCATCCCCACTACCATAGCCCCCTTACCCATCACTACCATCCCCCTGCCATAGCCCCATTACCCATCATTACGACCATCTCTACTGCCATAGTCCCATCACTTATTATTACAACCATCCACTCTGCCATAGTCCCAGTACCCATCATTACTACCATGCACACTGCCATAGTACCATTACCCATCATTACTACCATCCACTGCCATAGTCCCATTATCCATCATTACTACCATCCCCACTGTCATAGTCACATTACCCATTATTACTACCATCCCCACTGTCATAGTCCCATTACCCATAATTACTACCATCTCCACTGCCATAGTACCATTACCCAGCATTACTACCATCCCCCCCTACGATAGTACCATTACCCATCATTACTACCACCCCCTGCCATAGTCCCATTACCCATCATTACTACCACCCCCTGTCATAGTCCCATTACCCATCATTACTACCATCCACTGCCATAGTCCCATTACCTATCATTACTACCACCTCCTGCCATAGCCCCATTACCCATCATTACTACCATCCACTGCCATAGTCCCATTACCCATCATTACTACCACCCCCTGCCATAGTCCCATTACCCTAAATTACAACCATCACCACTGCCATAGCCATGTTACCCATCACCACTACCATCTAACTGCCCTAGCCCCATTACCAATCATTACTACCATTTCCACCGCTATAGTCCTGTTTGTATATCCTGTTTCAGTGGTAAGTATTGATATATGTTATATTAGATAAATTTGTCGGTAATGTGTACGTTAAATGTCTAATCTGTACACTTTGCAGTGTGAATTTCAAGGTTGGAATTAGATATTATTAGTGAAACAATATTTAATGTAGTTATTATTTATATAGTTATAATATCCCCAGGTTATTACAGTGTTATTTATATAGTTATGATATTTTGAGGTTGATACAATGTTATTATTATCTGGTTGGATTGATGTCTTGTTATTATCCTCTGGTTGATTATTGGAGGTTATATTATTATAGGGTTGGATTGATGTGTAGTTATTATAGGTTACTCTGGCTGATGATATGACTGGATTATTGGAGGTTATATTATTATTATTATTATTGGGTTGGATTATTGGAGGTTATATTATTA